AGGGAGATGGGGGAGTGAGGAAGGGAGGGAGGAAGAGAGGAAATGAAAACCATTATGTTCTTAGAATTATATCTACAAATCACATTGAATCTATTAAAAAACAATTAAAATATTTAAAATAAAATTTAGAAAGTAAAAAGAGCAACCACGGCCTGAGTCTCTCTTGCCCCCTCTCATTGTGTGACTGCCATCTCCTTCACACATGCATTCTCACTATCTTCCATTTGATGATGTAGCCAAAAGGTCTTCATCAAAGTCTGAACCAAGGGGCTTACATGTAAGACCTTTGACTTCCAGCTTCCACAGCTGTGATAAAAATAAACCTATTTACCCATTACTTGCTTCAGGGATCTTGTTATAGTAATACAAAGTAGATTAATATTTCTGGACATTCTGAATACCATATTGTGAGATTCTGGATTCTACTAAGTCCATGGAAGCTGTTGATATTTGTTCTTTGTATTGTTTCACCAGGCAATCAACTGAGGTTTGGACAAGTTTTGTCTCACTTTGTGGGGGTGGGAGTCCCAATGCTGGTTCAGTTTTCAAAGTCTTTGGTGGTCTGGGGCTTGCCCTGGTCATATGCCACACTAAGAGATTTCAATGGTGGTTTGTTGTAATTTGGTTCTCAATGTGTTTATTACATATCTCTGGATATATTCTATGTCCATCCATGTCCATAATGCTTTCCCTTTTCCTGTTCATTCTACAAGACTCAACTCGACACTCTCTAGATAACAGTCTCCTTTTCATATTTCCTTTGGCCAGAAAGACAAGGTTTCCTCAAGGTTTTAGCTTCCCACCCTGTTACAATTTCTGAATGACAGGAGAGAAAAATAGGGATTTCTTCCATATTCTTCAGATATCACCATCTTAGGCTGTTTACAAATATATTAAAGTGTAATCATAATATTCTCCTAGGATAATCAAACACTTTCATTATGGAAAATTTTAAACACTCAAAAGCAGACAAAATACATTCCCGTGTACCTATCCCCAAAGCTTAGCCAATCTTATTTTATCTTACATTTGTGTACCTTATAGAGACAATTCTAAGACACTTAATCATTTCATCTGTTAATAGTTTCATATGTATCACCAAAGCCACTTACAAAAATATCCACTACCCTATTAATGAACTAAGCAAATGAGGAACTTAGCATGAAATACTACTCAGAGTTCAAGTTTTAAAATATAATTATTTCCCTCCATTTATAAATGTTTGAATCTATAAGTTCACTTAATTGTTATCTCTTATAATAAATCTATGGATTCTCCTGTGTTTTTCTTTAAGATTTACTTATTTGAAAGGCAGAGTTACAAAGAGAGGGACAGGCAGAAAGAGATCTTCCATCCACTGGTTCACTCCCCAAATGGCTTCAACAGCCAGTCTTTCGCCCTTTTCTGTGTTTCATCTCCCCCTCCCACCTTGCTCATTTATTCAGTGAAGAAACATTCAGGCTTTTTCTCTTGTGTTCAGTAGGCCTACTTCATAGTTGGTTGATCTTATATAGTTTTAAATCTTTGCTGTTGTTGACTTATGTTGACATTTTCTATCTTCCATATGTGCTTCTGTTTTCCTACATAAATCTTGCCAGAAGTTTGCCTACTGGTAGCTTTTACAAAGAACAAGCTTTTAGTTTTGTTGATGCTTTCTTTTGGTATCTTTCCTTTAAATTTCTGCCATTGTGCTAATATCCTTTACTTTCACTGGATTTATCATTCTTTTAAATTCTTAAGTTGCACCTGAAGTCATTAAGTATCAAAATTTTTTGTCTATTAAAGGAAGCATTTGTGGTCATAAAATTCCTCAAAGTACTATAACTATATCCCACAATTTTTTTGAGATGTATTTTTATTACTGAATGTTAAGAGTATTGAAATTTCCATCCTAACTTCTCTGTGAGGTATGAATTACTCAGTATATTAAATGTCCAAACATAGGAGGTTTTAACGTATGTAATTTCTTGCTGATTCCTAGTTTGTTTGTCAGAATGCCCTGAAAATCATTGTTATATGTTCAAACTTCCTTTGACAGTCCAGTGTACAGATCAGTTTTGAGAAATATTTCATATATGCTGTAGAGAGTGCACTGTCTAGATGTAAGGAATAAAATATCATGCCATTCAGATATATTGTGTTGTTTTTGAGCCCATTTTTTTATGTTTGATCTAATTACTGAGAGGCGAAAAATTATCTACTGTAATTGTGGATTTATCAATTTTCCCAGCAATCATTCATTTCATATTTTTTGAGGCTGTAATATTTAAAATTTTAAGTTATTTTATCTTTCTTGTGAATTACTGATATTCATGAATTCTATTTTAATAATTATATCAGTTCTTTTGATATCTGCCTGGTATTCCTTTTCTATTTTGTATTTTCAAATTTTCCTGTAAACAGGATATATTTGGATTTTAACTACAGCATTCGGTTCATTTACCATTTTTTCCCAGAAATACCTTAATTTTGCCCTCAGTTTTGGATTAGAGTTTAGCAGGCTATGAAAATGTATATTAAGAGCTAATTTTTCTTTCAGTACTTCAAAGATACTATCCTACTGTCTTTGGACTTCCATTTTTGAAGAGATTTTTTTATTTTGAAAGTTAGAGTTACAGAAAGGGGGAGAGGGCAGAACTTTCATCCACTGGTTCACTCCCTAGATGGCTGCAAAGGGAGGAACTGGGACAGGTTGAAGCCAGGAGTGTCATCTGGGTCTCCCATATAGGTGGCAGAGGCCCAAACCCTTGGGCCATCTTCTACTGCTTTTCCTAGTCCATTGGCAGGGAGCTGGATCTGAGGCAGGGGAGCCGGCACATGAACTGGAGTGCATGTGGGATGAGCTGGCCCCTGGACTTCTATTTAACTAGTGATATTTCTAGGGTCAATCTAAATAGCATCCCTTTGTAGGAAATCTTCCTCCCCACCCCCTGCTTGTTTTAAAAGTGCCTCTGCCTTGGGGTCCAATGTAAGAGGGTAGCACAGGGCCGGTGTTATGGTGTAGTGGGTAAAGCCTGCCGCCTACAGTGCTGGCATCCCATATGGGTGCCAGTTTGAGTCCCGGCTGCTCTACTTCTGATCCAACTCTCTGCTCTGGCCTGGGAAAGCAGTGGAAGATGGCCCAAGTGCTTGGGCCCCTGCACCCTCATGGGAGACCTGGCAGAAGCTCCTGGCTCCTGGCTTTGGATTGGTGGAGCTCAAGCCATTGTGGACAATTAGGGAGTGAACCAGTGGATGAAGACCTCTCTCTGCCTCTCCTTCTGTGTAACTGCAACTTTCAAATAAATAAATCTGTAAAAAAAGAAAAAAAAAAAAGGAGGTATAACTTAAAAACAATTTTTTTCCTGCTTGGAGTCATTGTTTGTCATGTCTGTAATCCTTGAAATTTTTCTTAAGAACAAAATGTCACTCCTTCTCAGCACTACTTTTTAGGTAATTTCTTCAGATGTATTTTTCAGTAACTATACTTTGCAAGAAATCTCTTGCCACAGAGCCAAGAAGGGGATTCCTATGAAGGAACTGCCCAATAACTATACTTTTAACTTATGGACATTCTCTTTGGGTTTTAAATGTGCCTGGTAATTATTATCTCTCATCATTTTGTTTCTTACTTACAGGATATTGAAAACATTTAAGTTCTTGAGGATCTAAGAAATTTGTTATGTTTGCTACTCTTCTTCATAGTGGGTTATGAACAGAGACGTTTTCTCATTTTGAGTTGTAAGCTTACTTTCTGCAGTATTTATTAATGGAAATGTTGTAGACTACTGTGTTATTTGAAATTTTTGTCATACACCTCCAAAATTTTTCAGCCCAGAACCATTTTGTTGTTTTTCGCTCTTAGTGGTTCCTGGATTGAGTAGAAATGTAAATTTATACCCTAGACCTTGATAAAGGCAGGTTTCTAGGTATAAAGTCTTAAGGGAGACTCCAGCTTTATCCCAACCCTGACAAAAGGCCTGAAAAACAAGTTTGTCATCAACACGTACTAGCGGACTTTCTTTTTCCTGTTCTATCCTTTCATGTTCTAGCTTTGAGGGTTCCAGCTTTACGTGAAGGAGTCAAAAAGGTCATAGGAATTTAGGCCTCCCCACCCCTTCCCGCTTTCAGTGTGTATATTAAAACCAAGCTCCTGGCATATCTGCCTCTGGCAGTAACAACAAGTTACCAAAATCAGCCAAGGGAATCTGTAACATCAATTTCAGTTTAAATGCTCTAATTCACAGTTATGTCTATTTCTAGACCGTAAGAATTATTCTTTTTGGAACTTACATATGCATTTAAAGTGATATTTATACAATGTTTCCAGGTGCTTTTTGTAACAGATAAGTTTTTTGGTTATCTAGAGTATTACCAAGATTGTAAATCTGATTTTCATGATTCTTTAAAGGGATGTTCTCACAAGTCTCATCCCATCTGCTTTTTACATACATATACATTAAATGTAATTTTAACCCTGTTGATATTCGTAGAAAAATTAATTAAAAGCAGAAAGCAAAAGTAGCTAGCAATCTCAATCCGTCAGAGTTAGTGAAAAACATAACAGTACTTTTCAATAGAACACTCCATGAGTAGCCAAAAATAGCACAGTAAGAAAAGAGAATTCTCAACAGGTTTGTGTTTTATACTGCTAAGGCTAAATTTGTGACCTTTGAAAAGATACCTTAACCTCAAGCAGTTTAGTTTTCTTCCTCATAAAATAAGGTTTTTATGAATCCATACTGATCAATATCTGTACTCAGAAATTAGGAATCCACAGATTTTAAGAATCTTGATCTTTTAAGATTAAGATACTCAATCTATGTGTATATTTCTGAACTTTTGATTTCAGCTTATTTAAATATAACATTGATCTTAACAGTATCCCCCAAAGTTACTAATTTTTAAAAACTTGTAATATCAGTTTATGGAATAAATATTTACAAAAAGTGAAATAATATATCTTGCAAATTATATTTCATCATGTATGTTCTCTGAAGTGACTCATTACATAGCAATACCTTAGCTTTTGGAGTAGCCTTAATTGTCCATATGCAATCAACTGCTTGGCCAGGTTTTGTTTTTTCTTCTTGTTCTACCTGACTAGAACGTACTATTCCATCAGCTCCCGAGAGCTCAAACTGGCAATCTGGAAAAAATAAATGAATGATGTTGAAAGGAAAATAAGAATTATCAAAAAAATCATGGGAAAAAGAGGTGATATACTAAACCTGGGATGGGATTTAAAATACCTCCTAGGTAGGTAAAATCTGGATCTGCAACAGAAAAAAGAAGAAAGTTGTTGGTATTGAAATAGTTACTTCATAGCTCAACATCTTAAGTTACTTCTAAAGCTCCATTAAACAGCAAGGTAAGAGAAACTTTCACTGATGTAGCATACATACTGGCCATTTTATGAGCTCACTTAAAATTTTAATACCATAATAAATTAAAAATGTATTTATGCTACTTGAAAACTCCAACTGTCAAAGGAGTAGCTAGAACACCAATGGATGAACAGATTTTAAAAAGTATAAAAATACAGTGGAATGCTATTCAACCATAAAAAGGAATAAAATACTTTTTTGCTGAATCATATTAAATTTACCTCCTAAATTTTTACTTAAATGGATGGTAATTGTTGCAACACTCCATGAATGTACTTAATGCCAATGAACTGTAAACCAGGAAATGACAGAGTAAACTGGTGAAATATATATTCCACTACAATAAAAATAAATCTTTAAAAATTTAAAGCTTTGGTATTTTAAAATTATGTGAAAATCAGATAAGAAGCATGTATGTCAAATTTCCAGAATGAAAACACTGATGCATAGTCTCAGAATCTTTAGCCCGGGGCTAACCTTGCTGCATTCTTCATAAAACTGCTAACTTTAATTTCAGATATTGTAGGAAGTTATCAAACTACATATTGAAAAAAGGTGGGAAATGTCATTAGCTTAATTTACATTTGATTGTTTAAACTTAAAACTAAACCCCATCCTTGCTAAAAAGGAACAACCAATATACATTTCATACTAGATCTTTTCCTGAGAAATGTCAAAGAGAAATTTAAATTTGAAACAGTATCAGTGGAGGCGGAAACCCACCAGTACTACTTGGTAAATTAATCAGAATCTCTGTATGTAGGCAAGAATTCTGGAACACAGTATTACTGCATTGAAATTTCCATAATTATATCAGTTACTTCCTGAATGTAACAATTCACTAAGCCTCTATGTCAACAAATATCACCAACAGGTTACAGAATTTCATTTAAAAGTGCTAATTTCTCATTGCTGCTATTAGGTTTTGGAAAAAGTTGCAATCTAGTCCTGGGTTTGCTTTTATAAGTGATCCAAGAAAATCATTTAATCACTGTCTTCTCATCTATATAATGGAGTATTTTATTCTGACATTTCTGTCATTAGCTTAAAATTATGGTGTGCACAGAAACTGAGGCATTATAAAATGAAAATAAATGGTAAAAAGTCTAGAAAACCTAAGTATTTTATAATTTGTATTTGACTACATACTATATAAAGTTGTTCTCATTTAAAATTAATGGAAAAGGAGCAGCTGGGACTAGAACCAGTGCCCATATGGGATGCCAACACCACAGGCAGAGGATTAACCTACTGTGCCTCTGCGCCGGCCCCCTGGTAATTAGATTTTAGTCAATTTTCTAAATCACAGAGATACCAATATGTAGTGGTTATTATTTGCTTGTTTTCATATTAGACTGAAGCTCTCCTGTGTCAACTGGCCACAGCCAGGGCAGCAACTAGGCAAGGCAAATTCAAAATGTTTGTAAAATCTGGCCTACTTATCAACATTTCCATTGTGTTTACCATCACCAGTCATCTGGACTAGGGGAGTAAACCAATGGAATAATAAAGACCCAATTCGTAATAATGTATGTAGCATTTAGTTTGACTGGCTCAAGGCTTTTCCCTCACACTCCTACGAGGAAACATAAGTTGCTTCTCTTTTTAGAGACAGAGACAATGCCACCTACTGGATTGCTCCCTAAATGTCCATAACAACTGGATCTGGACCAGGGCCAGAGCCAGGATCCAGGAACTCAATCCAGGTCCCCAACAAGTGGCAGGGACCTAAGCACCTGCACCATCACCTGCTGCCTCCCAGGGTGTGCACTGGCAGGAAACTGGACTCAGAACCGCAGTTGGGACTCAGAACCAGGGACTTCAATGTGGGATGTGGGTTTCTTGACTGGTAAGTCAAACACCCATCCCAGTTATCTCCTTTTGAGATCATTACTGCCACCCTGTACACCTAATGAAGGACTTCACAAGCCCATACTTTTTTTTTTGGTTAAGATTTATTTATTAGAAAGGCAGAAACAGGGAGAGAGTGGTCTCTCATCTGCTGTTTCACTTCCCAGATGGCCACCACAGCCAGAGCTATGCCGTTTTGGAGCCAGGAGCTTCTTCTGCGTCTCCCACATGGTTGCAGGGCCCGAGGGCTTTGGCCACCTTCCACTGCTTTCCCAGGCCATCGCAGAGAGCTGGATTGGAGGAGCAGCAGCCAGGATTCAAACCAGCGTGCATTTGCGTTGCTGGCACTGCAGGCAGTGGCTTTAACCACCGCGCCACAGCGCCAGCCCCAGCCCATACTCTTCAACGGAACCTTCCTGCAAGGAATTCATTACTATCATACAACATTATACTAACTAGATCAAATATTCTTTTAATAGCCCACTCCCAGGAGATCACTCATAAAGCCTGAAGCTTGGAGACAACAATTATCGGAAAAAACACCAACTTAAAGATTCTCTACAACTCCACTGGACAAAACCTTTTTTGGTTTCCCTAATTAACTTGTGCAGCTAATTAGAAGGGGTAGACTCATGGATTCACATTTCTTGTTTTGAAAAAAGACCACTGGGGCTGGCGCCGTGGCGCAGGTTAATTCTCTGCCTGCAGTGCCGGCATCCCATATGGGAGTTGATTCTAGTCCTGGCTGCTCCTCTTCCAATCCAGCTCTCTGCTACAGCTTGAGAAAGCAGGAGATGGCCCAAATGCCTGGTCTCCCTGCATGGGAAACCAGGAAAAAGCACTTGGCTCCAGGCTTTGGGTCGGCACAGCTCCAGCCGCTGTGGCCATTTGGGGAGTGAACCAATGGAAGGAAGACCTTTCTCTTTTTCCCCCCTCTCACTGTCTGTAACTCTACCTCCCAAATAAATAATCTAAAAAAATTAATTACTAGATTTCAGAAGAGTCATTTGGTAGGGGAAAATGATGGATGGGCACATAAAATAGCTTCCTGGGGGGTATGATCGGGACACTTGAGCAACAGTGGCTGAAGGTGTCCAGAATTAATGCTGTCTGCATTGGACCATTTAGTAAGTATTCCAATGGGAGATTCATGGATAAAGCTTAAAATTTCCTTCTGTGGGTGGGAGAATGGGGTGTGAACTTGGGGCTACCTAAAGATATCCATTTTCATCAAAACAATAGCCCTGTTCTCTCTTGTGATCCTAAGAGTGGCTTGGGCCTTTATTAACCTGTAATGCAGGCTTTGAGAAACAGTGGAAAATAGGGGAGCCTTCAGAGACATAAAGGTCTCTTTAAGGTGGCCTGTGGGGAGCAACTGAGACTAAATTACTGGAACTAAGACTAATTCTATGCATCTGATCTCCCTCAATATGGCGCTGAGAGAGAGCAAACAACTTCTACGCAGATGCCTCATCAGTTTGATAAGCTGCAGGAGCTGATCCTGCTCCTGATTGGAGGAGAGCAGCGTACTCGGCGTGTGGGCAGCAGAGCATGGATTGGTGGAAGAGAACTATAGAGGAGGAGAAGAGACAGCATGCACAGAGCAACATCTGAGAACATCTGAGTAGCCCCCGAGAGAGCCGGCCGAGGGTGTGCCGCTCCTCCGCGGAAGCGGGGAAAGCGGCAGGGGTGCTGCCTCTCCAGGGAGGCGGGGGGGGGGGGGGTTAGCTCCGGCAGCTAACCCGGGAAGGTGTCGTTCTTCCACGAGTGAGGGAACGGCAGTTAACCCGGGAAGGGCCGGGCATAAAGAACAGCGCAGGGGTCCGGGGGCCTTTCCCTCGCGAAAGGGGGGAAGGACAAGGGGGCCACTTTTGGATGTATAGTCCTTGTCTTCTACTGGCCTTTGCTCCCCTCCTGAGCAAAACCGGGGACCCTGGATTTCAATGATCGCTGGAGCTATTGGAGCCTGAATTATGTCTAAGAGGGCAAGACATGTTCTATGTTCATTATACATTAACCTGAGAAAGTTAAGTCTGTTTCCAGAGAGTGCCAAAATCAGGAGCCCACCAAAAGCATAGCTATTATCTGTACAGAAGACTGGCAATTTTGTCTTTAGCTAGATGGCATGCTTTTGTAAATCCAGTCACAGAGTGAGGAGCAGATCTGAGCAACACAGTCATGAAGGGGCATGAAGCGGAAGTTGTCTGGAAGGGGCAGTGGAGCACAGGGTTGAGGAGACTATGCTGGGCGACAGGGAGGTGAGGAAAGGAGGAGTCTCATGTCAGACAGCCAGTGGAGAGTTGTGGGGTATGTTGAGAGTTAAGAAGGGTATCCACAGAGCAGGGAATATGGACAGTGAGAAAATCTTTCCAGTGACTCTAAATGAGTAGAGGTGGCAGCAACTGCCTTCAAACAGGAAGGTAACCCCAGAGCACTGGGTCTAACTACTGACTCTAGTACCCCACTGAACTTATTCTGTCCCTGTGATTAAGTGACAGCTCCCCAGACATTCTCTTCTTCATGACTAAATGGAGAGGGAGGTGGTAATTGCAGTGCCTTAAAGTTAGGACCAAAGTTTATTGAATCTTTATGTTTTCAAAGTCCCCCCCCCCCATTAGAGTGCCATTGAATGGGATCAGATAAGAGCTTTTTTTTTTAACCTTAGTAAATTGTGAAGAGGCTGAGACATCAAGGAGAAATTTAGTAGCCAGTTTGGGCGGTAACCTAAAAGTCCCACAAATCTTGAATTCTCTCAGTGCAGGGAGTAGGGAATGCCAATGTGCTTAGAACAAATGAAGGGTCAAGTTTTAGACCCTTCCGTGTCAAGTGGTACCCGCAAAATTTAACTGACATCTGACAGAACTGAAGTCTTTGTAGTCTGGACTCTAAAGGGCATAAGTTCTCAGAGTAAGTGGATGATGTTGGCAAGGCAAGCTTCTTGGGATGGAAAACACAAAAGCAGAGTGTTCAACTATATTGGAAAGAAATGTTAGCTAGATTAGCCTAAAGAATTTGAGAGAAGTAGGGTGAAGCTTTCA